GTGAACTGAACTCAAATAGTGAAACTAATTAGGTTATCACAGATCTAAACTACATCCATTTCTATATTCTTTGCATTTTTAACTGTTCCTTTTTTCTAGTAATTTATCAAATTATTTTCTGTGCATACACTTATGGTATTTGACGAAAGTCTTATCTGAAGTCCAGAAACGTACTTTTAGGGATTTTGCTTCACCCTTTTTAAAGTTGTTTGAAGCTCAGCTCAGCTCTTGTATTCACATCTTCAGAGCTGGAGAGATTGATGCGCAGTAAATTGAGAAGAGCTGTGGGCTGTGGAAAAGTCCGTTTCTCATTCTCTGTAGACAAGAACCCCCATGATGCGCTGCCATGTATATGTGCAGTAGATTTTTCTTGTGTCTGCTTTTAAAAAAAAAGGATAAAAAGTAATGGGAAATAAAGTTAAGGAAAAATCGCATTTATCTGGGAGTAAGAGATGCTGTCATGTCATGTCATGACAAATGCGAGAATCCAAAAGAATACTTTGTTGAAGCTGAAAGTAGCATAAGGTTCAATCACAAGGAAATATTGTATTCGTGGTACCCCAGGCCTAAACACCTTTCAGTCTTAATGATTGACAGAACAAGCTAAATTAAAAAAAAGACCTTTATGCACAAATAAAGCAAACAGTAGCTGTCACCTCCGTGCTACTGGAGACTTCTTTATTGGCAAACTAAATGTTTAGTAACTCTGTTAATTAGCTCCTCAGAAAAGCCTACATCAAAGGAAATGATAGATTTTGAAATTCTGTCGAGGCTCCTGGGTTCAAAGGTTACTTCACTCAGTACAAAGATGGGTAGCTATGCAGTGCAGTAGGGAAGCCCCAAATGTAGACCTAAGACTTCAACCCCTAACCCTATTGGAAATATCAAAGCCTACAAAGCAGTGGGATACACAGACATCCCCAAATTAAAACGGCATAGCATCAAAAGGAGCTCTTAGAAAATACAAGAGGAAAATAAAACAGTCTGATATCAAATTCCCTTTTCTGCTAAGTATTTTTTAGAAGATAAATATAATTAATCTTTCCAAGTTGCCATGTGTCTAAAGGCCTCTTGCTGTGCAGCAGACTCCTCTTGGCACTTGAAGAGAATTATGTGATTAAACAGAGACCTGAAAAGTTTTGAACAAGCCCGGGAGAAGAAAAGGTTTTCCCCGTAATGCCCTTAATGAAGTGCCTTCATTCCTCCTCCAACATCAGCTAGGCCTTGTGTAGTTTGTTTTCAGTCTGGTTAATCATTGACCGAGGCTGTGGAGCGGACCAGCAGTTCCTAATAAACCATAAAAGGCAGATCACAAGCCATTGTTCTGCTGTAGGAGGCTTAGCAGTCAACAGCTGAATAAACCTGTTTCTAGTCAGAGCAACAGAGGCCCAGCACACTAACAACTCTCGCTGCTCGTCTTCAACACCAGTCCTAAAAGGAGCGAAGACCATTATAGCATTATAACATGTGATGCCTGTAATATTTTTACTGTGGTTGAAGAACTGTAGCTGTCAGTGATCTTTCTTGGAAATGAGCAGGAAAAATAACCGGCACAGTTTTGTTTAAAGGGTTTTGTTCATAAGCCTGTAGTGGTTCGCGTCTACGAGCAGCTCAGACTAATGTTTCCCTTCACGAGCAGAGAGGCAGATATGAGTTTGTGTCTGTTTTCTTTATCAAGCCTACTGTGTCGGTTTGTTGATGTACCACATCACGTAGTGTCTAACAGATTCACGGGATGTGTGGAAATGGAACACATTGCAACAGCTTAAACAACTGTAAACAGCAACAGAAAAGCCTGAGGTGTCTTTGCCAGTCTTTCATCTGTAACCTCCCATCTCGGAAAAGCAGCACTTCCTATTCTGCGCGTCATTTGCTGCAAGGCGTTGCTCTTGTTTTGCTGCTGCTGTGCATGCTGGTAAAGACTCACATGCGCTCTTCACTTGACTGTTGCTGCAGAAACGTTGCAAGGACCCAAGACAACTCGCCCTCCTTTTGAAACAGTGGAGCACGCAGTCAATCCCTGTATGGGGGGGGAAAAAAGTAAATACTGGATTTTCTTTCTTTTCTTTTTTGGTATTTCTACTCATATGAGATAAGTCTGCTGTCAGTCTCCGAAGCAATCACCTGCATATTTCTGCAGGAAAAATAAGGAACCTGCTTGCTTTCATCCTAACGTTTGTGGTAGGATGGATTCATGAGGCTTTCTGGCTGTGTGATTCAAGCCAGCCCTTCTCTTTCTTCCTTTGTTCTCACATGAAAATAAATTCACTTGAAGAGCCTCTTAATCTCATTTTAGCAATCAACAATTGCCACTTGTGGATTGCTCTAATAGATTAAGAAGCAGGATGATGCGGCTGTCTGGTCTGATTCGGCCCTATTCAGGTAACTGTGGCTGGAGGCACTTTGTAGTGCCAAGTGCAGAACTCTACAGGAAGACATTTGCTATCATAATTTCCTGTGGAGCAATGCCCTGCCCCACTGCGCTCCCTGAATTACTTTTAATTAGGCCCGACAACCACAGAGAGCAGGAATCCAGGCTGTCACAATAACCGGCCCTTTGAACAGGGCACTTGGAGGCCGGTTTTTCCCTCTTTCTGCGTTTAAAAGATAAAGAGACGGAGAAGGGAACTGAAAACAAAAGGCAGCAAAGAACATCTATTTATGTGACACCGGGCTGCTGTAAATCAAGTGAGTGGGGGAACTGTCGCAGGTGTGAAAATAACGTTTCTGTCCAAAACGTTTGTACAGAACAATTATGATTATCCGTAGAAGTTAAAGTTGTTCAGCTGCAGTTGGAATGAGTGTAGTTGTAGGAGTAACTGAGCTGAGGTGGAATAAAAAACACTTCAGACCTACTAATAGTGACCTGAGCCATGTCTTCTTTAAAAACATAAGGACTTAAGAAAGAAATAGGTAAGGCCATTTGACTACTGCTTTGTTTTCTTTCTTACATTATGGCAGGGGTTGAAGGAAAACTAAAGTGTGATGAGATTTCATGCTTTGCAACAGGTGTAGAAAATGAGCAGACTCCTCTTTGATGTTATATTATGTTGGATTTCACATCGAATTGATTTATTATTCAAATTGATTTTCACTGCCTGAGAACCTGTATGACATTGTGACCGCATGCTACTGTGCCTGTGTTTGAGGTTACATACACAGAAGCATCACAAATCCCAAGTTTTTTCACTGTATAGTATGTGCTTTGACAGGGTGCGACATCTACCGATCTATATTTCCTGTTCACACTTCAAAACGATCCACAGATTCCATGACTGCTTATCCCAAAATGCCCTTTGATGCAAAATTCCTACAGCTCTCCACCCATAGTGAGCCAAAGAAACATCACAGCCGCCATCCTCCTTAATTACAGTCACTGCTGTAACAAAAAAAATATCAATAATACAAAAGGCT